TCTATTACTATATTATTGATTTAGACAGTATGCCATCATTTAAAGACTTCCTCAAGAAATCAATTTAAAAGGTTTTCTAACATATTACCAAATTAAGAAGCCATCAATTCTTTCATAGGTTCCAAATGTTATCAAACTAACAATCTTAAGAAAATAAGTAGCTCCATACCAGCAATGGTTTGACAGAAGCAGCATTCCAAGAGCCAGGTGCAGTGGTGCACTTTTGTAACCCCAGCTACTCAAGAGGATGAGACTAGAGAGTTCAGTTCAATCTAGTCTGGGCAATTTAGGGAGACCCTTTCTCAAAATAAAAAATAAAGGGCTGGATGTAATAAAGGACGTAACTCAATGGTGGAGACCTTGCCTTGCATGCACAAGCCCCTGGGTTGGATTTTCCAGTACTGTAAAAGAAAAAAGAAAGCAGCATTCCAATCAGCAGCAATCAGTTCAGAATAATACCTAAAATTTTTACCAAGAACTTAGAAACTGCGGGCAGCATTGTCAACACCTTACATGAACTTGCATTTTACTGTTTAAAACTCCATTTCCATTGTGTAGATAAAGAAGTTTGGCTACTGAAAGTTTAAATCATTTGCCTAAAGCGGCTAATGACAGCAATGCCAGGATGTAAACTCTGGAAATAAAACTTAAGAACCTGCACTCAGAATTAGTAGGCTATATTACACCAGTATTTGATCAACACAAAAAACAGGCAAGGAAAAAAAGCAGGGGTGCAAAGCAAGCCCACCTAGCAAGTCTTCAGAACTTTTCCTATCTTGACAATAATTAAGTGCCACCTCAGATTGTTTTTTAATCCTTCTTGGTTCTGTTTCTCTACAATAATTATGTTATGAGTCTCACGCTTCATCTACCTAAATCATTTCAGAATTGTGTCTTCAGACCAGACACTGACATGGAAACACCGCACCAAATCTCTATGATATTTTCTGTCTGAACCTCCAGATCAGGTAAAAGTCATTCCCATAGGTCCTGCTTGTACCCAGAGATATTAAGATACATTTCCTCAACTATTTATTATTCAATCTCATGTAATATTTAGACAAAGCCAAAGGGAAAGAAAAGTAACAGGTCAACAGTTAAACGCTGAAGGTAGATAAAATGTGATGATCACAGAAAAGCACCTTTTGGGGTATGAGCCAAAGGCAGGGTGCAGGGGGACAGAAGAATGAATGGAAAATGAGAAAGCAGTGACAGAGAAACCTGGGCTGTAAAGGAGCCCTCTGGTGGGCTGTCCCAGACAGCAGCCCAAATCTGCCTGCATATAAATCAGATACTTATGTTCCCCATAAAACAGCAGTTCTAAAACTTTGTGGTCTCAACACCCCCGTTTTACTGTTAAAAATCACCAAGGACCCCCGAAGCTTTTTTTTTATGTGAGCTATTGACAGTTACTTTTGTTTATGTGGGTACAGCCAGTTCCCAGCTTATCATGGTTCAACTCACAAGTTTCTGACTATAGGATGGTGATCCATTCAGCAGAAACTACTTTGAGTTTTGCGCTTCTATCTTCTCCCAGGCCAGAGCCCTTCTCACAATGCTAGGTAACAGTGAGCAACAGTTTCAGTCAACCAAATGATCCCGAGGGTAAACAAATACACTCTACAGTGACAGAGTATTATGTTGCGAAGGAAGGATATTCTTCGGCAGGTTAAGTGTATCAAACACATTTTCAACTTACATTTTCAACCTGCAATGGGTTTATCAGGATGCACTCCCACTGCAAGTAAAGGAGTGTATGTTTTAGAAATTAAAATATAAATTTTAAGCCTACTGTGGTGGCACAAACTTACAATCCCAGCACACTGGGAAAATGTGGCAGGAGGACGGAAAGTTCTGCAAACTTGAGATCAGTTTGGGCAACTTAACTGAGTAAGATCCTGTCTCCAAAAACAAAAAGTTTAAAAAGGGCTGGAGATGGTATAGCTCAGTGTAAAGGTCCCGGGTTCAATTCCCAGTACCACACATAAACACACACAGAATTCTAAAATGTATCAATTCATTTAAAATAATAAAAGCTCAATATAAACCAACATGTATAAAAATAAAATTTTAATGAAAATAAACATTTTTCAAAGTAAAAAATAGTAAAAAATTTTTTCTAACTTTGCAAAATAATTTGTATCTTAACAAGACACCTAGATGCTTCTCTTGCAATATGGTTGCTCTGGATAAAGTTCATCAAGAAAATCATACATAGATGGAAAAGGGAGGAAAATTTTAAGCCTTTTCAGGTAATTGTGAATATCCTTTGGTATTATAGTAAAACTCCAACAAGTCATAGTTTCAATGTTAAAAATTATTTCTAACTCAGAAACTGTAGCACTGAACTTTTTATACTATTACATTAAACCCATGAATGTATCTTAGACTTTAAATGGATCTTTTACCAATACCAATGCCTCATCTGTAACATCACATATTCCTTATTTGGAAAATTAGTTAGATGAGTTATGCATATCTTCCAAATATTAACTCATTTAATATACAGTGTCCCATATTTGTAGATATCAAAACTCATCAAAGTCTTTTAAGTACCATGAAGCTGTAAAGCTGATTTTCAAAATTCTAAAATTTCCTTCCCAAAGGCTTGAATTTTGGGGCACAAATATGATTAGTTGGTTGTCTTTTATTTTAAGTGACAGGCTCAATTCATTCACTTTCCAAATCAGCAAATTTATATGAAATGTACGCCACTTGCTAGAACAGTTGTTAGTCACCTTAAGAATCCCTCCAGAGAGGTCTTCAACTGCACAAATTTCATGATAGAAAAATGTAAAATGGACAGAGGGGACTGTCTCATTTCCCTATATGCAAACAAAGGGGTTTAAATAGATAAGCTTTAAATTCCTTCCAGGCTGACACTGGCCTCCATATGATTCAAAGTTCCAGGCAATTAACTGATAAATTAACTTGGAAAATTAGAAAAAGAATCCAAACTAACTTACATAAATAAACTCACATATTGAAGAAAATATCTTTAAAAGTACAAAAAAGGGCCGGGGATTTAGCTCAGTGGTTTCGCCGCCTGCTGCGCAAGCGCAAAGACCCGAGTTCGATCCCCGGTACCAAAATAAAATAAAATAAAACAAAACTACAAAAAAATTAACAATCAATTCAACATAAATACACAAAATATACACATCAATACACAAGGCAGGGGGCCAGGGGTTTAGCTCAGTGGTTCCGGAGCCTGGGCAAGGACCACAAGGACCCCAATTCGATCCCTGGGACCAAAAAAAAAAAAAACCCACAAGGCAGGAGTAGCATCGAAAAGCTGTTTCATAATCAGCATTTACTGCAGTTAACTGGATCTAATCTTGCTACCACGGATGGTCAATTTGCACTGCAGTTCCAGGCTAACGTGGCAGAGGGAGGGGTTTGGGTTGGGGTTTTTTTCCAAATTAGATGTATTCTCCTTTCTAAGGAAAGACACCAAAACAAAACAAAACTGACAGTTAAGACAAAGAAACCACACCTGATTTAATTTGGGAGAGTGGAGGGAGAAAGAAAGTAAGTACAGTGTTCTGATGCCAAAGAAAAAAAGTAAAAAAATGAACTCATAGTGAAATTTTAAAATACAATACTATTAAATCAGTCAGGCTCAAACTAGAGGGAAGTAGAGATTGCAAAGCGACAGAATTTACAGACTTTGCAGCAGCTATGCTCCAATGAATTATTTCCGAGAGAGGGTTCCACCCTCCATAGCTAGGGCAAATGATTGCATCAGGCACCAGTGCAGGAGCAACCCGTTTGGTGTTCACTACTAGTCGGTCCTGGATCCCCGGGGTCCTACTGCAGGCTTCTGGAGCTACCTCCCTGGATGTGAGAATCACCTGAAACACTCTTCCTGGTCCTCTCTATATCGGGATCTCCATGCTGAGCTCTTGGAAAGAGCCTATATAAAATCACTATGAAACCTCCCTTCCGCAAAATCCAATTTCACAATGTTCCATAATCGGGATGACTTCACCGAGTAACTCAGCACATTTACAGTTTCCCAGGTTTACGATCTGAAAGCTCACTCGTCCCAGATGGCCTTTTCAGAACCCAGAAAAGATGACAAGACAGAAGGATAATGATTTCACATCCTTATTAGAAAAGAAAGTTCGACACTTTCCCAAACCCACGTTTCAACTTTTTATTTTCTCAGCCGATCGTGCGGTTAACAAAGCACTGAAGGAAAGATGATAAGGAGCAAACGTCACCCTGAAGATGAAAGAGTCTGACCGTCAGACAAGAGAACCGGCGAGTTCAGCTCATCAGTGACCAGAGGCAGAATTGAGAACCTAGCCACCCAGGGTGCACAAAGAGCAGAGCAGAGCCTGGGAAACCCAAGTTAAGGTTATGGAGTGAGGAAGCGAGGACACAGATCCCAGACCAGGAACGCGGACCGGCAAGGAGGACAGATCCGGGGGGACGCAGTCCCGCCCGAACGAGGGAGTCATCGAACAGGCTAAGACGCGGGTCCGCCGGCGGATGTGGCTGACCAGGGCACCTGGATCAAGAAGGGCGGGGATGAAGGAAGCGAGGTGCCGGGGAGGATGAGTAGGACCGCCGCGGAGCGAAGCCGGGGCGCGCGCTGAACGCGAGACGCCGGTACCTGCTGGCGCACGGCGAGCCTGAGAGGTGCCAGCACGTCCTCCGCCCCGGCGCCGTCCATGCTGCTCCGGGAGGCGGCGGCGGGGACGGAGATCGGGGCGCGGGCAGGCGCGCTGAGGGGCCGACAGGGCGCGAGCGAGGACCGGGCCGGGAGCCGGGGCGGCTGCGACAGCAGCAGCAGCGCGGCCCGGGCGGCTCTAAGCAGCGCCGGGCACGGAGAAGGCATGAGCCGCCGGCCCAGGGCAGTCGGGAGGGAGGGGGCGGCGGAAGCGACGCGCGGAGCCCAGCCCTAGCATGATGAAATCGCTGCGTAAACGCCGCTGCGCGCGCGCAGCCGCGCTTTCCCCACCCCGCACCGTGGCGCAAGTCCTCTTCCGCAGATTCGACACCAGAACCGGAACCCGACGGAGCCCTTTCGACACTTCAGGCGCCCCGCGGGGCTGCGAAGTCAGGGCAACATTCCACCCTGGTAACGTGGCCGTTCTAGAGCACAGCTCCTTCTGATACATGCGGACCCAGTCGCTTCAGAGCCTTCAAAGTATAGGCGTTGTCACTGAGGCTCGGCTGACCCTCTTGAACGCACGCCTCTGTTTCTGTTCTTAGGTCCTTTATGCCTCAGAAGGATTTGTAAACATCAAATGAGATAGGGACTTTGATTGACTGTTGCTCAAGCTCAGACGTTCCTCTGTTGTTACTGGCTGTTCGCCCCCATGATATGCCAATTGGAAAGACAAGATATGGAGGCCAAGAAAGTGACTTTATTTTAAAAGATCGCTCAAAGAAACTGAAGAAAACCCTGAATAAACCCGTTAGCTTCACCTGCTTTTGGTCACTTGTTCTTATCAACAATCTGAAGTAAGTTGCTTTTTGGGAACTTACTGAAAGTAGCTCAGTTTGAAGTAAGCTGCTTTTTGGAAACTTACTGAAAGTAGCTCAAACCAGTTGAAACCACCCGGTCTTCACTTGGGCCTGCGCAAGTAATACAAGAGAGAATGGCCTGTTGCTCCCCAAGCAGTAATTTTTATTCTTCTGTGGCTGCCCCAGATACCTTACAGTCAGCCAGCCTACATCAAGCACTCCATGGCCACCCTGGAAGATGATACATCTTTGGCTGCAGCAACATTCAGAATGGCCCTGTCTGGGATAAGTCTGCCCAACATCCTCCAGATGACTGCCCTTCTGCAGACATCCTCAGGTCCTCCAAGGGCCCCTTCTCCTACCCAAAGTCAAACAGAAAGTCTGACCCTGCTCATGATCAAGCTTAGTTTTCTTCTTCTATAAGCAACCTCCCCATTCACTTAGTGGGCCCAGCCTGTGGGCTGCTACCCTTTATGCTGCAGCATAAATCCTAATAAAGCCTCTTCTTAATAGCATATGCCTATTCATGAACATTCTATTCAGTCTCCAGTAGAGCATGCTGAGTTGGTACCCTAAAAGTTGGTAACATCAAGGTCCCCTTTACAGGGCTCAGATTTGTCAGCTTAAGAACAAGCTCAAGAACAAGCTTACATTTGATTTCCATCTCGAGACTAAATCCATACTAGACAGTGACAAAGTGTTCAATGGGTGACCTTTTGACATCTGAGGGCCAAAAACTCCACCCTCATGGTATATTAATGCCACCATTTTTGAGTGCGTGTCCTGTGAAGAGTAATGAAGTTCGATTATACACATATAGACCACCAATTACTTTACTTTTCCTTACCTCCAAACAGGTTTCCTCACACTTCAGACCAGCCTGCTTCTTTGTCTCATGAATAGTCCCAAACCCTATCCTCAGGGAGATGGACTTAAGATTTTCTCGTTTCTAAACCCTTGGCCAACTTGGAAGTGAACTCTCTCTTGTATAAAACTTGTTCCAGTAAGTAGTGTAACACATAGCGGGTGAAATGGGCCTTCTTCAGTCCAATTTGACAGGCTGGTCAGGAGACAAGTCCAAATGGACCTTTGGCCAGTGGCTTATGGATGGGCCCCTGCCCTGGTATCAAGGGCTTGTGGATGAGTCCAAGAAGCTGACTGGACCACTTTTCTCAGGGACCCTCCCCGGGACTGACTTAGCACAACCAACCTTCAGTGCATAACTTCACTTTTTAAGTGCAGAAACTTTCCAGGTTTGAAAGGCATGTTATTCAGGGAGTAACTGTGTTATATGTAATCAGATTCCTTATTTCTTCTTCCCTTTGTTTGTGAGGAACTTGGTTCCAGGATGCCTGGTATTTGACTTCTGAAAAAAAACGTGGTTTGGCCTCCATTCTGAGGCTCCTAATTCCCAATATTAAGGAATGAGTAGGGAATCTCTGCTAACAGTCATTCTTTTTGTTTTTTCTGTTTACAGAGATCTAGTTCGAGCTACAGCATAAGTATTACAAATTTTTGGCCCCAAACTAGATTGTAATGCTTACGCTGCAGCTAGAACTCCCCATCCATATGGTCTGATGGAGGTCACCACAAGTTCCACTATAAGAGGAAATGACATCAGAGGACCCCAGTAATACAATGGCAACAGTAAGATGCTTCAAAGTTTTATAGAAGTAATGTATAGTAATGATTCCCAATTGTAAATGAAAGTTCAAAGATTACATTAATTTAGCCTTTCAAGATAAAAAGAAATTTTCAGGTTCAAAATTTTTTCCTGCCTCAGTTTCTTTTTGAGGCAGGAGAGAGTTACTGGTGATCAGAGCCTGGCATGCTCTACCACTGAGCTACATCCTCGGCCATTTATTTATTCATTTTTTGAGGCAGGATCTTGCTAAATTGCCCAGGTTGGACTCAACTTGCAACCCCCTTGCCTCAGCCTCCCTGGTAGCCACTGTACCTTATCTACCTCAATTCCTTACTCTAAGCAGGAAGATGTCTCAGTGTTTAGACCAAGCAGAGGTTCTTTCAACACCCTCAGCCCAGGCTGCCCCTACTGGGCACAAGGCTGAGAAGCTAAGCACAGCTCTCATATGCCATTATTAGATTCCAGAGTTTGTAAGGCACCAAAGAAAATAACGGCTCTGGCTCCATGTCCACAAATTCAGAAGCAAGTCAATCCCCATCTCTACAGCTATTACATGGCTAAAGTGTGGTTCAAGAACCTGCCAGAGTCAGAGTCACAGCAGAGTAAGGAAGGGCTGCTGGACACCATTGTGTGGGCTTGCAGGTGGGGCTGGACCTCTTGGACTCTATTTCCCTTCCTTCTGAAAGTTTTTAACAGTTTAATCTGCCCCTTTACTTGGCCATTTTCCCTAAGTAACACATTGTGTTAGGCAGTTTTCCATTGCTGTGACAAAATACCTGAGGAAGTCAATTTAAAGAAAGAAAAGATTTATTTTGGCTCATGGTTTCGTTCAGACCACGGTGGGCCAGTTCCATTGCCCTTAGGCCTGTGGTGAGGCAGAAACATGGTGGGAAGTTGTGGCAGGGGAAAACTACTCACCTTAATAAGCCCATTGAGCTCTGAACTCCTGAGTGGATTAATCCACTTGGGGAAGTTAGAGTCCTTCTGATCCAATCACATCCTTAGAGCCCATCAACTGGCGTCCATGCCTTCAACACAATGAGCCTTTTGGGGAAATTTTAGATAACAACCATAACACACATATTTGCTGACTCTGAGTGAGTAGCACTTTTCCTACTACTTTTCCCTTTGTATTTTGTTCATACACTAATTTTTCTTACATTCTCTACTACAGTAGAGTTTATCCTTTAGGGTATCATATAGGGAATAATTGAAATTAGGGAGTTCTAGTATTATGCAGGGCTTTGAAGGGGCAGTGATGGGTACTGAATCCAGGGTTTTGTGAATGCTAGGCAAGCACTCTACCAGTGAACTACATCTCCAGTTCTTGTTTAATTTTATTTTGGAGACAGGGTCTTGCTAAATTGTTCAGGCTGACCCCAAACCTGGGATCCTCCTGTCTCAGCCTCCAGAGTAGGTAGTACTATAGGCATGTGCCATCACACCCAACCCAGAGCATCTTTTATTTGCCCACCTTCACTGCCCGCAATAGATGGTCCTAACCAGAGATGTGAGTGTTGCAGGATTTAAAAAAACAGGAGAGGGCCAGGGATTTAGCTCAGTGGTTCTGGCGCCTGCTTCACAAGCACAAGATTCTGAGTTTGATCCCTGGTACCAAAAAAAAAACAACAAAAAACAAAACAGGAGAGACCACAGGAAATGAGGAGGATTTTATTAGGTGGACCCTGACTCAGTTGGACTCCTGTCTAAAAAGACTGAGTAGAGAACAAAGCAATTTTCCAGCTTATATACATTTTCTGAAGGGGTGGGCATGAAAAGGAACAAAGATAGTTGTTTTTTTTTTAATTCAGTGGCAGTTTTACAGTTTAACCTTGAGAGCCAAATATCAGGAGTTTCAAGATGCCATAAAACCTTGTTTATAGGAAAACAGTAGGCAACCTTGTCTGTGTCATCTGAGGGCATACAGGTCCTCAAAGGTCACAAGACTTCATTTACAGGAATATAACTGTCTGTCTTATCAGTGTCAGGGGAGCTCAGCTTTGAAAGAAGGCAGATTCCTGAGAAACCGAGACATCACAGGACTCTGCTAGAAAGAACTTTGCTGTTTACCTTATCTATAGCAGAGCAGAGCCCAGAAGTTTGGGGCAGAACCTGAACAGGGAGCTGTCAAAAGCTAGAAGACTGCTTTCAGCAAGGAAAACTGCTTTTCTTTTAAGTTCTGCTTTATGAGGACCAGGCTTTCAGGAGGGTGTGTCTAGTGTTAGACTGGATCTTCTAAGTGAAGACACCAAGACAGAAGAGATGGGCAATGATAGTATGGGGGCAGGGGGTCCTATGAAAGGAGCTAGGGAGGAAGCCAGAGGAGAACCGGGAGGGTACACTGTCTGTCTGCCTTGAGTGAAGGGGACAGGGAGAGATGGTCAGTGGGGTGAAGAATACTAGCATGCCACATGGTCCGAGGAAGGCTCAACAAAGCCCCAGGGGAATTCTTGAACCAAAATTGGCAAAACCAGGATCTCTGGCCACATGCACACACCTTCAGGGAGCAGCCTGTGGGAAGCCCTATCTTGGACCTCACAGAGCAGCCCAGGGCCCTGCAGTCTATGGGGTGTGGGCTGTGGTGGCCCATCTTGCATCAGATCCACAGCTAACTAGGTTGGCCTTCATTTGTTGTCATCCTTTTCTGGTCTTTGAAGCCCTCACCATGAAACAGGATGGTGTTTTGAGTCCACTGGTTCCTAGCCTGGCCCACGGGGCTGCTGGTGTCATCCACCATGTGCTTTCCTTTCTGCCTGCTAGACACCCTGTGCTCATGAAGGGGCGCCTGGGCGGCTGGATGATTGTGAGAACAGAGCATGTTGCTCCTCCCTCCTCTTTCTGACAAGCTCTGCGAACAGTTGAGATGAGGAAAAAGTGGTCATGCATTGCCTTCATGTTGCTGGACACTTGGGTCTACCAGCTGGCCCAGTCCACTTACCCTACCTGTCATGGCCAGGCGTGAGGAGGACAGTTGGATCATGAAACTCCATCTGGACCACAGGAGCAGGAAGGGTAGGTATAAAGAGAACTGGACTTACAGAAGCTCTTCTTACAAAAGGTCTTCCTAGGAGTTTGGAGGAGGCAAAGCCAGGTCACCCGCACAGCCTGGTGGGGGTTACCTCAGCGTGTGGGCTAATCTGTGGGTGCTCATGGCACTTCTCTGGGTCAGAAGGTCGGGGTCTGTGAGTAGGCAGATGTCACCCTTCTGCGCCCTCTCCTTCTCCAGTCTGTGCTCTGTGCTGAGCTGTGTGTGCCCACTCAGAAGCTCAGCCTGTTCTTTAAGTCCATACCCCCAGGATGTCACCAGGATGCTGAGAGATGCTTCCCTGGCCCTGGTATGCAGGGAAGGCAGCCCATGTCTAGTTCAAGCCCCTAATCTAACCCTCTCTTTGACCTTGAACAAGGCTTTTCCCGGATCTGGCCTCAGTCTCCTCATCTGAACAAGGACGGGAGCTGGGCCTGTTGACCTCCAGGGTCCCCTCCTGCTCTGAGAGTGAACTTGTGACCCAAGGAGACAAAACCCGTGTCTGCTCAAGAAGAGCTGGTTTCCCTCTGTCCAGCAGAGGGAGCAGCTCCCCACAAACCAGCGGCTCTGCCAAGCCTGCTGTAATCCAGCCGGCCTCAGTACCGCAGCAAATTCTCCAGAATTGGATGCCTCCCAAGCCCCTTCTCCGCTCTGATCCAGGTCACCCCAGGCTCCCACCCCTATTCTGCAGGGAGGAGTCAAGTCAGTCACAGCAGTGCTCTATATCCTGGCCAGTCTGATGGGACAGCGAGGAGAGAAAAATACAAGAAATCAGACAAGTGAACAGAAAGTGTCCCCAGGCAAGGTGTGACTCTTAGGTTGCTGAGTCTCCAGCTGGATGGGCCTCAGACTCCTAGTTAAAACTTGAGTTGCCCCCCTCCCCCCCCCGCACCCCAGTCTCCCTTCCAACCTTCAAAAAAGATGCAGTCAGTGCAGAGTGTGACCTTGTTTGGGAATGTTCACTGCAAATGAGGATGTAACTAATGAAATGCAGAGAGGCTCCCACTGAAGTGGGGCAACCCTTCATCCAGTAGGACTCGTGTCCTTCAGAGAAGAGTGAAATGTGGACACGGGCAGCGGGAAGAGGCCCCGTGCAGATGTCAGCAGAGAGGGATGAGGACGCCACCCGCCAGGCAATGCCAGGGGCCACCAGAGCTGGAGGTGTCCTCTGCTGGAAGCCTCCGGACCAGCATAGTCTGCAGCACTGACCTTGAACTTCTCCCCTCCAGATTCAGGAGTCAGTAAGTTCTGTGGTGAAACCACACGCATCCCACCCACCTTTCCTTGTAGACATTGCCCTATACCAAATGCCACCTCTGCAGCAGGTCTTGTTTGGATATCACAGTGTTTATCGTTGCTGAGCCTGGCTTCCCATTTTGATTTGCATGGCTTCATCCTGACAGTCCCACTGATGACTCCATTCCCCTGCTCCCAAGTTCTGGCCCTGCTCTGTCCTCCCCACCCCTAGGGGGAAGGCTCCTCAGCTTCCTCCCAGACTCCTCTAGGATGGGCTGTTCATTTCCTCCCCAGGCTTCCTGGTCTCACACAGCAACTCGGATTCAGAAAATGTCATTGGCATTGGACAAAGACCTGCCTGGCCACAGCTTTGGCTCACCCATCTTGCTCCCTAGTCCAGGCCCACACAGAAGCCCTCTGATCCCTCACCTCTAGATATTTACACACAGGAGACTGACATGCTCTGTGGTCTTTTCTTCTTTAAACTGTGCAGTCCCAGCTACCCCAGATCTTCCTCACTGGTGTGATTTCCTAATGGTGTCCTGACCTGAACAATTATAGTTTGTGAAATTCTGCCTTGTGGTTCAGGAACCAGGGCTGGGCCTATGTACCTGGTATACATTCTAACCACAGTCAGTTGAGCAAGAGCATCACCTCCTTCATTCCGAACTCAATACCTCTGCTACCATTGCATGTTCAGGAGAAGGATTAAAAATGATGAATTCTTTGACCACCAAGGATACTGCCACAAATGCAGGGGTATAGCATAAAATGATAAACTGCCTGCTGGAGAACACAGTAGTATCCACCTAGAATATTTTATATTTAAATTTGATGGTGTGACCTCCCCATACCCAGAAAACTCACCCATGACTTTCTGTCACCTTCAGGATCAGGTCCAGCTTCATATCTATCATATCTATCCAATCCTCCCTGGATTATGATCCAGCCACTGAACTATCCCCTCACGTCCTCAGTGTCTCCCACCTGGCTTATGCCTTCTGCCAGCAAGGGTTCTTGGAAGCAAAGGAGATTCCTTTGAGGCCAACTCAGCTTACTGGAGGGATACCAGGAGGCCTCACAGAGTCGAGGGAGCCCAGAGGGAGGCTTGGGAATGTTCAGACTAAGAGAGCTCTGTATGGCCAAGACACAGCATTGCAAATAGTCAGACACAGTGCCTGACCACAAGTAACACAACATGAGAAACAGATGCCCAGTGGCACAGTGCTCTGTCTCTTACCTAAAGATGAGCCCATGGGAAGGTCCAGATGGGGCACACACCCAAGCAGGTACCTGCAGGGGCCTCATGCTATGAACTTCCCTGGGCTCTTCCCTGAGTTCAAGATGGCTAGCTGAGGGTGGTGAGACAGGCCTGTAATTCCAGCATTTGAGAGGCTGAGGCAGGAGGATAGCTGCAAGTTCAAGGACAGCCTGGGCTACATAGTGAGTTCAAGTCCAGCTTGAACTACATAGTGAGACCCTGTCTCCAAAAAAAACGATGGCTAGTGACTCGAAGTCCACAGACTCACCTTTCAGGCAAGAAGGATAGGGATGGGACAGCAGGTTGTGGGACATTGTGCCTCCCTCTTGAGGAGCCCTCCAGAAGCCCCACTTGTTTGCTGTGACCCATGTCTCATTCCCCAGACTGGACCATGTTGTGTGATTGTTAATTTTATGTGTCAATTTGGCTGGGCCTTTGTACTCAGATATTTGGTCCTATACATCTGGATGTTGCTGTAAAGGTATTTTTTTTTTAGATCAAATCAGGATTAAAATCAGTAGATTTTGAGTAAAGCAGATTACCCTCCATAATGTGGGTGGGCCTTGGCCAATCAGTGGAAGAGCTTAAGAAAAGGACTGACCTCGATGAGGTGGAAGAAATTCTGGCTATGGTCAGCCTTGAGACTCCAGCAGCAGCATGCTTTTCCCTGGTCTCCAGCCTGCCAGCTTGCCCTGAAGACTGTGGACTCTGGGCCTCCACAATCACAAGACATACTTCTTTAAAATCTCCTCTCTCTCTCTCTCTCTCTCTCTCTCTCTCTCCCTCTCTCCTGGAAAACCCTGAAAAATACATATGGGAAAAATTATTTAGCTGTGTACACTGTCATTCCCCCCACTTCCCAGAAAAATCAGAGAA